TTTTAATACTTTATACAAAGTCCATCCAGTGTCGTTGTTGGTGGTGCGTTTTTAGTATTGCGCAATAAAGTGTTCAAGGACAGATGTCGATCGTATGGGATATTTGATAAAGTTTATATATATTATATAATTGTGCATAAATTTTCAACTTTTTTGGTTTAATAAGGTATTTAAATTACTGGAAAATAACTTGAAATTTCCCGGAAAACTTAAAAAATACCTTGAAAATGACAAATTTAACCTTGACCTTGTATTGAGGATGATGTATTTACCTGTTACATAATGTCTAATATTAATTGTGTAGGGCGATTATTAATGTTCTTTATACATTTCAATATTGTGCAAGTGTTTCTAACTTTTTTAGTAGGATAAAGTATTGAAATTCGTAAGAAACTTTTGGAAACTCCATTCTTATATATAAGATGCAATAGAAAACCTCATGTTGATCTATGTTCTGACTAGGAATGATTTTATTTATTCTGCCAAATGTTGTAAAACAATTTGGATGATTTCAAGAAATTTCCATGTGCATTTAGAACTAGCAAAAATTAAAATCCAAGAGAAAAATTCTATATATTTAACAAATTTTGTTTATATACTTGCGTGTTGGTTTAGTTGGTCCGAAGATAGTTCGAGACAAATTTTGAGAAAATTTTTGAAACCAAATTGAATAGTTCCAAGCTTTTTTTGTGTATATTTTCTTTATGCAGATTTTATTTCTTTTTGACAAAGTTATGCCTATCCGTTTTTGAGTTACAGCTCAAAAAGTAATAAAATCGATCAAAACATTCTTTGATTACGATCAAAGATATCTTTTATTTTTGATTGCGGTTTTTAAGTAATCGACTGCATCTAAGCACTTACAATTTCAAAAAACTTTTTAATATATTCAATTTTATACGAGTTTGTCAAATATTACATTTATTTTAGACAAACTATTTACAAGATACAAGAGATACTATGAATAAATGTTCAAGGTCGTTTTACGATTGCATTTATAACACTAAATTATTTGTAAGTTTTTGAATGCGATTTTGGGGTATACCGTATTGCTTTAGGAACTTTCATTGTTAAAAATTTTAAGAATATTTAATTTTGAACAAATTTGCCAAATATGTCAAATATTTCATTTATTTTATATGAACTCTTTGAAAGTTACAGTTGATGGTGCGTTTTAGTATTGTAAAATAGTGTTCAAGGACAAATGTCAATCGTATGGGATTTTTACTAAAGTTTATATGAATTTTATAATTGTGCATGAATTTTTAACATTTTTCGTGTGATAAGGTATTGAAATTATTGAAAAATAGTTTGAAATTTTATAGAAAACTTGGTAAATGTCTCATTTGACCTTGACCTACAGTATAGTTGATGATGCATTTACCCAAAGATATTTATTTCTTTATAAATATTAATTATGGCTATTATTATTGTGTTACATAACAGTTTCTGTAGTATAAGGTATTGGAATTCCTAAACATTTTTTGGAAATTAAATTTTTTTAAATATCTTTGGGGTTTTCTGGTGGTTTTGCACTGTCTTGGAAAAAGTAGATGTATGATTGTTTTTCAAGTTTTGTTTTGTTGAACCAATTTAAATAGTTTCAAAAGATTTACAGGTGTAGTTCTTTTAATATGCAGTTCTGTTAGGTTTTGCATATTTTTTTAGTTTAAAATACTGAAAATAACAAATTTCAATCTAAAAAAAACTTTTCAAATTTTTTAAATTTTTAATAATGCTACTCAATATTGCTTAAATTTCAGTTTTAATACTAATACATTTTTTTTTCTTTTTTTAACAGAATTTTTCTTTTCCACTAAGCGATTTTTTTTTAAAATTCTTAAAATATGCACATTTGTCTTCTAAGATATTTATTGAACAGTATTTTCGATTGTTTGAGTAAAACTTACAGAATTTTAACTTGCCTAAATGTCTTTTACAACTAGTATTAGTTTTTGTAAATTTTCTCCATGAAAATCTTGATTATTATGATTTTTAATGAATTTTTTTATCTGATTTTGGAGTATACCTAGTTGCTTTAAGGTTTTATGTTGTTAGTATACATTATTGATGATTTAATTTTCTATTAATTTGTCAAATATTGCATTTATCTTAGACAAACGGTTTAAAAGTTACAAGAGATACACTAAATAAATGCACAAGGTCGTTTACGATAGCAGTTATTGCACTATATTATTTGTGAATGTTTGAGAGCAATTTTAAGGTATACCGAGTTACTGTAGGGTGTTATGATGTAGTATATATTATAGATAATTTAATTTTATACAAATTTGTCAAATATTGCATTTATTTTATATAAACTATTCATGAGTTACAGTTAATGGTGCGTTTTAATTCTTGCATAAAGTGTTCAAGGACAAAGGGCAATCGTATAAGATTTTTATTAAGGTTTATATAAATTTTAAAATTGTGCATACATTTTAACTTTCTTGGTATGATAAGGTATTGAAATTATTGAAAAATAGTTTGAAATTTTATAGAAAACGTGGTAAATGTCTCATTTGACCTTGACCTCCAGCATAGTTGACGATGCATTTACCCAAAGCGTTTTACCCAAAGATATTTATTATTTAATAAATATTAATTGTGGCTGTCATTGATGTGTTCATAACAGTTTCTGTAGTATAAGGATTTGGAATTCTTAAAAAAAATGGAAAAATACATTTTTAAAATATTTTTACTTTTCAGGATTTTGTTTTGTATGTTTTACTTTTGATGGTTTTGGAGTATCTTAAAATAAGTCGGTGGATTTTTTTGCATATTATTTGCATAATATTTAAATATTACATTAAATATTATAAAAATTGAAATCCTGAGGGTTTCGTAGTAATATTCCTTAACACAAATAAAATTTATCTGTGCAATTAATTAGTAATATATGTTACTTATATAGAAACTACCCATATTACTTACATAGAAATTATCTTTTATTTGGAATTCAAAAATATAGAATTATTACATATCGCAACTATTACAATTTTTTTTTAAATTAGGTATAACTGGCAATTCGCCTTGAGGCAAGTTGCATGAACTTCCCTAAACATAAAATACTTATAAATTACATTTTCAAGCAAAACATGTAGTTTTTAAAAAAAAATATAATTTAGGTCTTACAATAAATGCAGTAGATGAACAAGCATAAAAAAACTCTCATAAAAAATTTTCAAAAATTTTGCGTACAATTTTAGCAAATAACTTGTTGATGTAAAAATAGTATATTATCTTATCCTTGCACAATATTTCTTATTACACCTTTTTCTCTTTTTTACAAAGGTTTTTTTTTTCAAATCATCAATGAAATGACAAATTTTGGCTTACATACATACAAACACACACACAAACACAAACACATTTCCTTGAATTTTGGTTTCGAACGATTCAGAATAAATTCCAGAATTTTTTTTAACAAACTAAACATTAACATAGGATTGATACAAAATTATTATTAATATATTTTGTTCAGTTTCTTTTTTTTTTCAAATTATTTGTTCTCCGATGTGCACTTTACTCTACTCTCCGGTTGCAGCATTCGGTTCGTAAGGTTCTTCGGTTTTTCTTCGGTTTTTAGACTTCGACTAATATAAAAAAATACAATTCGCCTTCCGAAACTTTACTTTACTTTCGGCAAGTTCATTTCATTTTCTTGTGTTACTCATGAACAGAAATAACATGGGAAAAGGACAGAACCGAACTTAGGAAAAATTTTATTAAAAAAAAAGAGGTTCACACGCGATTGAAGTAAAACTCATTTGCTACTGTACAAGATGGCATTCAAGTAAAAATAAATACATTATATAACAATTTTGAATAGCGTTTATTAGTAATATGCGGTAACACTCGTGATGCACACATTTATTAGTGTCGACGACCATTATACACATTTATATAATGATAAATTATAAATTATATATTTATAATAGCATTAAAAATACGTGTAATATTTAAAAACAAAAATGGAATTAAAGTCATACTTCAAATACATGATCGGTTTGCCATTGTAATTAGCATTCAGGACTTGAATCTTCATTAGAGAAATGAAGTAATTGCTGATTAATAAATTCTATAATATGTGAAAAAACGCCTAAACGAATATTGTTTTCGCAATTTCACTCATCGTGTAATATTTGTGTTCGAAGAACTTTATGTGATTAAAATTAACATACATTCATTGACCGTTTGTATCTATTTTTACTTTTTTCCAGACGATATTCAATTTGCACGTCAGTAGAGTCCTTTTTTCTCTGCTAAATATAATTATTTTTATAGATTGCAGAATGAAAATAAAATAAAAATAAAGTAGAGTCCTTTTCGTCATTAAATATTAATAATTTTGCTCGTTAGTAAGATCCCTTTTTTGTCTTATAGATCAATTTTGTACATTTCTATCAAGTTATTTGATCACTTGTCAGTAGAGTCCCTTTTCTATTGATTATTCATTTATTATTCGTTTGTCAATAGAGACCCCTTTTGTTTTTTTTGTCAATTTTTAGTTTTCTCGACAGTAGAGTCTTTTTTTATATTTACGAATTTCAAATTTGGTCGCCAGTAAAGTCCATTTTTAAATATTTTATATTAAAATTGTGTTTGCTTGTTAGTAGAGTTCTTTTTAGTGACATTTCTTATTCATATTTTGCTCGTCAGTAGAGTCCTTTTTCATTATTAAATATTCCCTTTGACCTTACAATCTATAAAAATAATTTTGCTCGTCAGTAGAGTTCTTTTTAATTATGAACTATCATTCTCTTTTATTTTATTTGCTCGCCAGTAGAGTCATTTTGCCTGTCAGTAGAGTTCTTTTTATTATGAACTTTCATTACTGTCATTATTGCACACAATCAAAGAACACTCTCACGTGACACGACGACCAATCACATTCGACCCGTATAGAAATGACGAATCATTGGCCGTAACGCTCTTTCGTTGCATTTGAACAGATTTACTCCTTAGTCGCGCCTAAAAAAGTTCTACTGCAAAAAGTACTAGAAAAATATAATATCCTATAAAAAGAATTAATGTAATGTAATAATTATAAAAATATTGATTTATAAAGATCTAAACGAGATCAAATTTAAATCTATGTTTTTAGAAAAACAAACTTCAGTTATTTTTGAAGTAAAACTTCTTTAGGCGCGACTAGAGTATAAATGCGTACAAATGCGACGAAAGTCCGTTACGCCAGAACTGTACGTCATTTGCTCTCGATGAGATCATTTGAATACTGGTCGATTGTGATTAGTCGTCGTGTCGTGTGAATAGAGATCTGTCGTTGTATGCGTACCGGCATCAACGTTGTATGCGTACCGATATCAACAAGGAAATCGGCATAAATAAATAAACATTTCAAAGTCACATCATAGTACAAATATTGATTTAATGAAAAATGCCCGAATCAGAAGAATATTTTACCCTGTTCCTTAAAAATAATAAAACAAATTAAACATTTGTGCCGCGTACTAAACGTAAGTTTATTGATTAGAAATTATTTCTATATTATTCGCAGTTTCTATAAATCTTTAAAGTTATTAAAATGGAAAATATTTTTTACACAAGACAGATATTACAGGTGTTCAAAAAATAAGATTGTATCGCCAGCGAAAAAGTAAAAATAATACAAGCAGTCAATGAATGTATGTTAATTTTAATTACATGAAGTTCTTCAAACACAATTATTACATGATGAGTAAAATTGCAAAAATAATATTTGTTTTTCACTGTATAAACGAATTTTAAAGAATTTATTAATAATCAATTTTTTCATTTCTCTGATGGAGGATCAAGCCATAAATGCTGATTACAATGACAAACCGATCATGTCATATTTCAAGTATGACCTTGATTACATTATTGTTTGTAAAGATTATACATATGTTTAATGCTATTATAAATATATAATTCATAATTTATCATCATATGAATTTGTATAATGCTTGACACTAATAAATTTGTGCATCACGAGTGTTACCTACCATATTATTAATAAACATTATTCAAAATTGTTATATGATGTATTTATTTTTACTTTAATGCCATCTTGTACAGTAGCAAATAAGTTTTACTTCAATCGCTTGTGAACCTTACGCGCACTCATTTTCTTATATAACAGATCTTTATTGAATAATCCAACAATGTGAAAATTTATCACAATTTGGTGTTTGATATAACTATTTATATAGAATTATTAATAATATTATTCTGATATTTTGTATAAATAATTTTAACATTAACAATGAAGAATTTTTAAGCCTATATTAAATATCTCCCTTCCGCTTTTTTGCTCTTGGTTTATAATACAAAAAGGCGGAAGGGAGATATTTGACAACCTTATATTTTTATAATGTACAATTTTACTTAAGACACTATTTTTCCAAGAACTTTGTTTTAGTTCGGCCCTGTTAATTTTTCTTGTTCCCAGAAAGTTTCTTAGAACAGTTATCAATACAGCAGTTCATACAAGTTTCAGTTTCAATAAGTTTCGACGATAAATTACCGACTTTCTAATACATTTTGCTGTTATTGCTTTCTTTAGGACAAATACTTATTTTCTTTTGTTTTTGTTAACAAATGGGGCAAGTTATTTTAATTTCTGTAGGAGGACATTTTATTTTTTATAATTGGGAGATGAATTATTATAATTAATAGAAATAGATTTATTAAAATTCATAGACTAGTTAATTATTACGATAATATAAGTTATTTATTTCTGGATACTAAAGAGAGGCCTCATTTCTTAATAAATTTAACTGAGATTTAAACAAATATTATTCAAGAAAGAGTAAAGGGTGCACATATTTCTGTAGATATTTCTTATTGAAATAGTGTATGGCATCGTGCCTTAAAGCAAATTGCTGGAACTTCCCGCACCGCAATGAAATATTCGAGGAATTTCAAACGTTTTCAAATATATTATTACAAATACTGTAACTTTCATTATTTCTGCTATCTTGTTTGTTATATCTGAGCAAATCAAATGTAAATCATAAATCATAAATCAATTTATCTTCAGAACATTAACAATCGTCATTTCATTTTGAATTCAATTTAAAAAAAAAAATAGTTGCATAATGTTACACAAAATTGAAAAAGTGCTCCCGTATAGCCACAGTCTTAAACGCATTTGTGAATAATTCTGTGCGACATTTTTACTTATACTGTGCTTAGCTTGGCGGCATTTTCACATTTTTCAGTAGTTTTCACAAAATTGGAAAAGTGTTGCAGTACATAAACAGTCTAAACGCACTTGGATAAACATTTGTACCGGAGTGGCGCTTAGACTGTGCTTAGCTTGGGTAATTTTTTGAATTATAATCCAAAATTACAAAACAAAAATATTTTATAGAAAATAAAAAGAGATGTAATAATTTTTTATCCTCGAAAGCAATTGTTTTGTCAATACGAGCAGAAAGTTTTTTAGATCATTCAAATCGGATGCTTAGTTCATTCAAAAAATGCCATTTGCTGCACATTTAGCTCTGTATCTCCGAAACCGCTGGGCCTATCTTTGCCAAAAATTAATAACCACTTTTTCCCGTCATTACGAACTGAATGTTTTTTATATAATTCAAATTCGATACTTTGTTCTCTCAAAATCTCGATTTGTATTTTTTGCATCTTTGCTTCGTATCTCCGAAATGGCCGGACCTGCCGTTGCCAAAAACTAATCAGCACATCTTCCTATCAATAGGAATCGAATGTTTTTCAAACAATTCAAATCGGTTAATCCGTGCGCCCGAAAACGTGGACGAAAAAATGCGGACATACAAAACACACACACACACACATGCTTTTTTCTGAGGTACGCCAGTAAAATGTTCAGAAACCTTCAAAACGTCGAGAAATTTTCATTTTCCCATTACTATAACTACTCTACGGGAAGTTAATAAACATATTTCTATATTTAGGCAAGATTTGCAAAATTTTCTGAACAAATTTTGGTAGTTGGTTGTTTAAGTAAGCAAAAAAACCTGATATACGATACTGAATGGGATCTTTCACTCGTTGATGCATTTATCACAACTCAACAATAAACCACGAAAGATATGTGCACTTTTTTTATTTTGATAACTACATATAAAAGAATCACGTTTTTGCGAGATTCATCAAGTTCAAGTTTGTAGTGGCTATATAAATTGCAAGGTACTTGAAAGTAATTACTGTTTTTAAAGTACACTAAGTTGCTGTAGTGCTTTACGAAGTCAAAAAAGTTCATTTAGAATTTAATTTTGTACAAATTTACCGAATATTTTATTAAAATTGCACGAACCGTTTAAAAGTTATACCAGTTTCAATAAATAAATGCACCTATCGAGTCCAGTTTGTGTAATGGCTATATGAATTGCAAGGTCATTGAAAAAAATTAGTGTTTTCAAATGCGTTTTTAAAGTACACTGACTTCCTTAAGGGCTTCATGATGTTAAAAAAGTTTATTCAGTATTTAATTTTGTACAAATTTGCCGAATATTTTATTAAAATTGCACGGACCGTTTAAAAGTTATACCAGATTTAATAAGTAAATGCGCTTATCGAGTTAGGTTTGTAAAGACTACATAAATTCCATATACTTTAGCATACCTCCATAGTATATTTTTTAGTTTTTCTAAAATTATTTTTCTCTATACATTAAGAAATGCAATAGTTCAATTAACTAATTACCATACCGATAGTACAAATAGATATATAAGATGTTTCAACGAAATAATTTACGTAGTCAAATAGTACGAACGGTGAAGACTGCTCCACCAATACACCGGTGGAGACAACTAATGGCCGTTTCGCATAATTAACAAATGAACGCTATATGTAGGGATTCTCTCTTGTGCACCTCTCGGAAGGATTCGGACATCTTGATTAGAATGTAAAAAAAATTCTACAAATTGTTGATCGAAATTTATTCTTTAGGAAAATGTTATGGCAAGGCCATGTTATGAAGAACTTTCCATACTAAATATTGACAAAAACCATGCGTAAGTGGTTGCTGTGCTTATACAGGTTGTCGAACAGAAAACTTATCTTAGAAACCGCACAAATGTCAAAAAAACGGTGTTAGATAACACTAATACACCAAAACCCCACAGCAACTCGATATACTTTAAAATTGTTATCGAACATAGGAAATTAATTAGAGTGCGTTTATTTTTGATTAGTATAACTGTGATGTTTGACAAAGTTGTTCATAATTTGAACATAATATTATATATTGCTTAGCAGAGACATATTATATATTGCTTAGCTTGAACAAAGAAAACATATTAATAAATAAAATCATAATTATTAAAATTTTCGAGAAAAATTTGAAAATCAATCTTAAATATTTGTAATGGTACTTAAATTAGAAAGGGTACAAAACCCTATTTGTGTTTAGGGTCTATAACCATGATTTTCGTAATGTGCTCGTCCAGACCTTTCATTTGATACCCCACATCGATTTTTACCATATGACGTGATTAAGAGTTATTTGACCCTTAATGACGTTTCTGGCACGGCTTCATAACATACGAGTGACGCTGCAGTTTATGTGTAAAACGCCTGGATGCACAGCAAATGCAATGACATTTTGACTGTATTCAGTAAGATTCAGTAGCATAATATATGCAAATTGGAGCGTAACATGGTCTTGCCTTAACATTTGTCTATTATGCGGCATAATCGGTCCCTATGTTGCCACCACACTCCGCCCTCAAAGAATAAAATATTTTGAAG